TGTTTGCGAATGCAAGAATTGTTTCCTAAAGGGAAGCCCGGAAGTGTTTTTGAGGTTGGCTCTTGGACTGTGAACCACTCTTTCTTACCTCTTTCCTGTCTCCTGGCATCTTTGAGTTAGTGTATTTGGCACGAAAATGCTTCCTGTGTGGTCTGAGGTGAATGTGTTGAATGACTATAAATAAGAACATGGACTGTCTTTCTCCCTCCATTTCATTGCTCCAGAGGGTGCCTAAGAAGGTGCCACTTTGCGGCGCCTATTTGATGGGTGCAGGAGGGGGACTCTTCCTGGGACATGAGGTGGCCTTGGCCTTCTCCACTGTCCAGGATCCTTTGCTTGGACAGCAGATGATGCTGCCTTGCATCTGTGTCCTGTCCCTGTGGTCTTTGGGACAGTCTCTTCCTTCTTTAGCTCTGTGCCTCTTTAGATGCTATCCCGAACCTGTACAGGACCTGCTGCTTAGGTGTCTGCTCAGCACCACCCTGGGAGAAGCAATAGCAAAGCCATTTGTTTGTTGACCACTTTCAGATGTTGTGAAGACCGTGGAGTAGTTAGGAAAGCCTATTAGGACAGAGGCATATAAGACGGACTCCATCTTCCAGGAAACCTCCCAGATCCGTTCCTGTACTGTATGTGCCTAGGCCGTGTGCTATCCTGAGCTTTTGCCTCCAGTTTTTTGTCTCTAACAATAAGGAGAATGTTAAGACACGGAGACCAGTAGGGGCTTCTGTGAAGACCAGTGGAGTCTGGTACTGACACGTCCCAGCAAGGACCAGGTGTCTGCCCGGGAGACTCCACCCTGGTCTGTAGAATCTCAGCCTAGGTTTCACTGCTTGTGACAGTTTGCAACTACAGAAAAAGGCCTGGAAAAAGAGCTGGGCTCAGGCTCTGCCCTCATCCCACATAACACAGCATGATGACCCTGTACCTCCTGCTGGAGGTGCCTCAGAAGGTCTCCCTAGGGCGGCCTGAGTGGATGGCTTGCAGGCACCCTGGGCTCTAGTACATAGAATTAGCCAACCTAGCCTCCTTAATAGGCTTGGGAGGTGCTGAGACTTCTGCATCTCAAGGCTGGCACTCGGAACGATATCCAGCTTGGGAGTGGTCTCTGGTCCAGCCCACTCAGGCCATGGGTTGGTTCTGTGTGGCTGGTCCCCCTCTCTCCTCTATGGGAGGTGTATTGTCATTGCCCACAGAGGTCAATGTGACTTGTATACAAAAGGCCTGACTTTCAAGGATGCCTTTGGCTGGGGGAATCCGCCTTTAGCCTTGAGAGGACGCACCCAGTAACAGCTTCCAGTTCCTCGTGAGCACTTGGTACCTGAGAGCCTTGGTTCTTCTGTTTCCCCAATAATGGCCTTGCCTTTGTCCTGGTACCTGTGGGCAGGAGGCCTCATATTCACTCAGGGGCTGAGGCTCCGCTCTCTGCCTGGCTTTTTTTATTATTATTATTTATTTATTTACGTTAATTTTAATTTAAATTTTTAATGATATAGTTTGAAAATCTTTCCCCTTCCCAGGTCCTCTTCCCCACCCCCCACCTCCCTGCCCACCCAACTTGACTTTCTCATTCTCGTTCTCTTTTTCTCTCTCTGTCTCATGAAAGCATCAAAACAAAGAACTCACAGAGACTGTGAGCATTCACGGGTTCAAACCGGAGAAAATCCCAGCAGAGAGAAGGGAAAGTGGATACGAAATCCCACCCCCTAAGGAAGAAGCTAGGTCAATCGATACCCGCTGGCAAAGGAAATTCTAAGTTTTCTCCAGTGGATAACATCAACCCCACTCCAGGGCAGGCCCCATGCTCAGGAGTAGTTGACTAACACAAAATGGACTCCATGGTGATTTTTTTAAATTTATTTTTTATTTTTATTTTTTATTATTATTATTATTATTATTATTATTTTGGTCCTCTTTGTGTTTTGTTTTGGTATGCTTTTGTCCTGTCTGGGTCTCTTCTCCTTACACACACACACACACACACACACACACACACACACACACACACGAAGCACAGTCCATGGCCAAGTGGCCATGCTGTTGTAAGGCTGGTACAGGGCCCTCCCTCCTGTCCCTGACGCGTGAGGGAAGGCAGCCAGCTGGGTGGAGTGGAGACTCTTGGTGACAAGTAGAGGCTGAGGCCCTGGTCTGGAGCCGCTCGGCACCCCCAGGTGTTCTGCCCATGATGCTTCTGGGAAGTTCAGGAAGAGGGCTGGGCTGGGCTGGGCTGGGCTGGGCTGGGCTGGGCTGGGCGTGAGCTGTGGAGGTGTGAAGCAGGTGCTTGCCACCTCCTGTTCCTTCCGAGTTTGGCCTGCAGCCTGGGAGAAGCCCTGGACTTGTGAGAGAGATGATGGATGGGCAGGGTCGAGGGTGAAGGGCGGGCAGAGAGAGGGGTTGGGAAATTCTGACCAGTGGCACATGCTGAACCTGACTCTTGTCAGTGCGTTGCGGGGTGTGACTGGGAAGGGCTGGGTAGGTGACATGGGGACCTTGTTCCCTGAATGTTGTGAGGGCCCTGGCTTGTCTGGTTCCCCTGTCCCTTGAGGACCGGGGTGCCTGAGAGCACTTCTGGGAAGCTTGTGCTCCTGCCCCAGCCCCCTTGGCCAGCCTCCTCGGGGCCTGGAGGGATGTGCTTGGTTAGAGTGTTGGGGTGGGGCAGGTCTAGGCCCAAGTGACTGTGCTGTGCTTTGGAGGCAAGCAGTAAGGGGCGGCCCGAGGGAAGTATGTCACCAGATCATATCCTGGACCGAAAGTCCTTCAGTGAGTATATTGGTGTGGACATGGTTGAGGAAACAGGGGTGTGAGCTGCTCTGGGGCCTTCTGGCCCCACACCGTGGCCCTCCCCTTACCTCTGGGTTCTGATGTCCCCCAATGGGTAGGCTTCCTCTGGTGGGCCTGTGCTTTGGGCCTGAGAGCCATCACTGTTGGGAGGCAGTAGCCCAGGACAGCTGTGCCTACTGCGCCCACTCTGTCATGGGACTAACGCACTGCTGGGTAGCCTTCTGCTTCATGTACACCCGCCTTGGCATGAGCTCTGCTCCGTACACTCTCAGTCACATGAAATCATGTTTGCCCCAGGCTCCACAGAAGGCCGATGATGATCCGTAAGAGAGGATCCCGGTTGCACTCCTGCCCACCACCAGGTGCCCTGTGGGGACAGTGAGCCTCTGCTGGTTGGGTGTGTATGCTCCCTTCTTATCTCAAGGAGGAGAGTGGGGGTTCATCCAGAGCACCTGTGTGCTCAGTGCTAGCCAGACCCCGGGATGGTTCTGCATAGACACCAGGCTGCACCTCCATGCTGATCTGCGAAATGCACCCTGAAATAAACAGGCTTTTCCTGTCCAGTCCTTTCTCCCAAGAGTCCATAAGGTTACCCTCTACAGTGGGCACCTTACCCTTGCCCCATCCTGGACCTGATTTCCTTAGCTTGGCTCCTTTCCCGTCCCTTAGTATTTTGCCTGGACCCTGGCTTCCTGTGCAGTGGGAGGCCCCAGGCCACAGCTCTCCATTCTCTCCCCTCCATCTCTGCTGTTCCCACATTTCAAAGCCTCCTGCTGCCCACCTGTGATCCGGTTCAGGGCACCCTTGCTGTGAGGGCACAGGGCCACGGTGGATGTCTGTATCTTTTCCCTTTCAAGGATATCACCTTCTCCAGAATGGAGAGATGAATATGCTCTCGACATCTTTTAGTTTCTCCGTAGAGGGTCCTGGGTACTCTGGGGCCATATATAGGGTTCTGTGTGGTATGGCCAGTGCATCCCAACGGGCATCCTGTGTGCCACCCCTGTGTGCCAGCAGCTCAGAAAAGGTCTGGGGAGGTGCATTTAGGGCCATGTAGGTCCCAGGGAAAGAGGCACCCTGGGGTCCAGGGAGAGGAAAGGCTGCAGCAGGAACAGGCTGTGCCACCAGGCAGGCCTGGCTGGGACCTTGGTCCCTGTGCCTGTGACAGCACAGAGCAATCTGGGCTTGAGAAACTAGAGAGTGGGATGTGGACACTCTATAGGGATCAGCAGGTGTCCTCAGAGAGCTCTGTGGGCTGCAGAACTAGCCTTGTGAGAAAAAGGCTTCTGTATGCACCCCGGGAACTACCTGGGGCATGCCAAGGCCACCCGCTTCTTTTGTGAGACCCACTGGGCTAGTGCACTGTGGGAATTGCTGTCACCAGCATATATGAGTGGGGAACGAGAGAAGAGAGTCTTGCTAGAGTTAGAAACAAGGTTCAGCCCCCAGAGATAGTCTGAGGGTGCAGGGCCGGAGGAGTTGCCTTGGTATTTTGAGTTGGGGGTGACAATGTGGTGGGGGGTGGTAAACCGTTTAGAACAGGGCAAACGTTGGTAAGTCTACAGGGACCCTCAGGAGATTGGCTGTACACACTGCCTTGACCCTGGTGGTGTGTGATCCTGGTCTGTGGGTTAAATGATTCTTCTGAGAAATGAAAGAGACCGACAGCAGACTCCCACCAGTGTGAAAGGCTGAGGAGGGGCAGGCAGGTGACCTGGGAGGCCAAGGGAAGAAGTGGCGACAGGCAGTTGTGATCACTGGGCCCAAGGGTATCCTGAAGGACCCGGTGTGCTCCCTCCTGACGTCTGGGACCCTGTGCAGCATGGGTGTTGTGGAATGGGGTCACCTTCGTGTGTGATACAGTTTAGTAGAGTAGGAATGTGTCTGCTTCTGGTTACCAGCCCCCGAGGATGGCGCCGGTCCCCAGTGCAGACAGCAAAGGCCTGCTTTTCAGTGGGGCCCTGGCCCCACTCTGTGGTCTCCCTCCCCCTTGAGGCTGCTGCTTGTCTGGAAGCTGGGGGTGAGACTCAGCCTAGAGCTTTCTTGCTGGTGGAGGAGGTCTCCGATAAGGGCGATCCCTGCTTCTTCCTTGAAGTCAAGCCTGGAGCTGGAGCGGACACTTAACCTCTTTTGCCCGAATAACCTGGAAGGGATAAAGTATAAAAAAAAAAAAAAAAAAAAAAAAAAGTTCATAGCAGAAGCACACGGGAGCAGCAGGTGCCTTGTGCCAACCCCTTCACCTGACTGCACCCTGGCTTGACAACAGAACACAGAGGGCAGTGCTGGCGGCTGTTTGTGTGTTCTGGATGGAAGCTGCAGCATGCGCGGCAAGTCCACGTGTGGGTGCACGTGGGTACCCACGTTTTTACAGGAAGTGGTAGAGACATTGCAGCAGACCATTTTGCAGATACAGAAATGCTCCAAGAAGACATTTGGCAGCACCCAAAGATGCACACCCGAGAGGAGAGCTGTTTGGCTTTGGCCTCACCGAAGACTTAGAAATAAATGGCCCCGGGAGCCTTTGCTGCCAGCCAAGGCGCAAGCTGCCTGCCTGCTCTGGCCGCAGAGGAGCCGGAGGCTGCGGGAGTCTGGGGCTCAGTCTGTGTCCTGGTCACGGTTCTGTTGCTGTGAAGAGACACCATGGTCGAGGCAACTCTTACAGAAGGAAGCATTGGCCTGGAGTCTTGCTTACGGTTTCAGAGGTTAGTTTATGATCTCTTGGTGGTGAGCGTGGCAGCATGCAGGCAGACATAGTCCTGGAGCAGTAGCTGAGAGCTCTACATCCTGATCCATAAGCAGAGAGAGACTCTGGGCCTGGCATGGGCTTTTGAAACCTCAAAGCCCACCCCCGGGGACACAGGTCCTCCAAAAGGCCACACCTCCTAATCCTTTTCACACTGTGCCGCTCACTGATGGCTAAGCATTCAAATTCATGAGCTATTTGGACCATCCTTATTCAAACCACTGCGGTCTACATCTCTGACTCCCATCCGGTACCTTACATCCAGGTGCCTCAGTTGTGCTGGAGTTAGTTGTAGCATGTACTGTTTCTGGAGGGCCGATGTCTTCATCATTTGGGGCCGCTGTCATATACCTTGGGTCAGAAATCTTGATAAACAGAAGGAATTTGTCATAGTTCTAGAGACTAGAAAGCCAAGGTCAGGCCAGCTACAGATTCAGTGTCTGAGATTTTCCTGAGATACACTCTTCTTCCTGGGGTCCCTATCCCAACCATGGAGACTGATTCGTGGCCTGATCATCTGATCGCCTGTCAGAGGTCTCACCGTTCCGTGTGAAGACTCCAGCATGAATTTCAGAGGGAGACGTTTAGACCGCAGTGTGTGCAGCTCGTAGAATCAGGTAGTGAACACGATGGCGGTGGAGCTAGATTCTGTGTCTTCTGCAGGTCTGTTACTCCTCTTCATGGGACCTTTTCCTGCACTCTGCCTCTGCAGGACCACAGACAGCTCTGTTTCTTCATCTTGGGGGCATTCCAGACCCCTTGGGAAATGCTCCTGCCACCCATTTAGGGAGAGGAAGCCGAAACTGGATTTGTCATAGATGGCCTGCCTGGTCTGTGATGGTTTCCCCAGAACTCCAGATGGACCCACAGCCACCTCCACCCATGTGGAAGCCTGTGTCCTGTAGGGCAGCACTGGGACCCAGGGAGACGGGAGTGTGTCTCGTGCTCTGCTGACCTCAGTCAGGTTCTGGCCTCTGCGTTACTTCCTCACCCCTCATAGTCCTAGAGTACCTGGTGCTTAAGTGCGTGGGTTACGTCTCTTCTGAAGCCCACAGCACCAGAGAGGCAACATGCTGATGGCTATGGCAGGAAAGGCCTGTAGGGCTCTGCAAGTGGTGTGGCCAGGCCTGTGCCATTATGCCTGTGGCCCGGGTCCTTGGGGCTGCTTGAAGCCTGTTTCTCCTGGGCAGACATGGTCTATTGCTGCGGGGTGTGTGTGTGTGTGTGTGTGTGTGTGTGTGTGTGTGTGTGTGAGAGAGAGAGAGAGAGAGAGAGAGAGAGCTACCAGTGCCTCCCCTGCCAATGTAAACTTGGGTGTGGAACCACAAAAAGCAGATTAATTCAACATCCCCTGGACTTCTACCTATAAGGTTAGGTGGTAGGATGCGATCACCCACGTATTGCTGAACGCATCACAAGTACTCATCACGTTCTTGAAGCTGCTGGACCGTACCCGCAGCCTTCACAGAGCTGTGACTGTCTCTTGGATGATGCATGCTTCACCCTGTGAAGTCCTGGGGCCAGGTGCTCTCACCTTCAGCCGTCCTCGGACATGCAGCCTCTGCTCTTAAGCTCTTGATGATATAAACATATAATAGTCTGGGAAGGGAACAAGGTCCGTGGACATCAAGCGTCTGTGACCCACGGATCCTGGACAAGTACCCGAGGCTTTGGAGGCTAGAGAAAGTAGGAGGGTAACAGCACAGGGCCCCCAGATGCCCACTCAAGACATAGTAGGTCCATCATCTGTGCATGAGTGGAATGGGAGTAGCTGTCTGTAGCCAGGCAGGTGGACTTCTCTAAATAGATCTTAGTGTGACCTCAGAGGAGGAGGGTGGTTCTCCGTGAGGAGGCTTCTCCGAGGTTCCATCTCCCCCAGATGCTTTTAGGAGGAATTACGTGTTTCCCCACAATGTGTTTTGTTTTTTTTTTTTACCATGGCTTATGGTAAAGGACATGAATAAGGGGTCCACTCACAGAGTGTTTAGACAAAGCTGTTTGGTGCATAATGCGGTCTAGGGTTCAGCCTTCTGGACTGTGTCTAGGTGGAACTTGTGACCTGCACAGGTTCTGTCCAGCCTATAGACCTCAAGGGATACCAGGCGGCTCAGGTCTGGAGTCAGCTCTCTGGAAGGGCCTCAGATGGCTCGGGTCTGCAGATACTGCGAAGCCCACTGAGCCCTGAGGATCCCCCACAGATTAGCCACAGCCTAGACCTGGCAACCACTGGCTCGGGGTCCTCGTGGGATGCAATAGTTTTCATGGCCCTCCTGTGGGAACATGGTGCTGAGAAGGTAAGGCCCTGGATGTCCCACAGGAGAAGTCTTCTGTCTCCAGAACAGCTCACTTTGAAAGAACACCCAATCCACCGTCCCGGGACCTGGTGGCAGATTCCAAATCATGTCAAGGCCTGAAAGGCCTGCGCTGACAGTTGAGACTCATTGTTGGGGCTCCTGGGCCCGGTAAGGTGTGTGGAAAGAATCGGGAAGGAAATCCAGCACTGATCCTTTACCCACAGCCATCACTGTTCTGGCTGTCGTGGATGGTACTAGGAATTGAACCCAGAGCCTTAGCCCACGAGGCAAGTGCTCTGCTATTCCTGTGATCGTGGTAGCATCCACAAGGTACCCAGGGATTTTTATTTTATTTTATTTTTGTTTTTTGCCTGACTTGTATTTGTGTGTTCCTCTAGAGACACTCAGAGCCTTGGGTTAACTCATCACACACCCCTAGCCTGACCTTCAGTAGTTGCTCCTGGGTGGCTGTCAGGCCATCCCTCTTCCTCCTTACTGGAGCCTTGGGTCAGATAAGCATGGTGTCTGTGGTGGTGTGTCCTCCTGCAGCAGCCATCCTTAGTAATCTCGGTGTCAGTTCCTAGGAGCCAACCAGGAATGTGCCTTTCAGGGGCCAGTAGGCTTTGAGGAAGGCCTGAGGGCCCCTGTGGTCCATACCTCAGCAAAGAGGGAAGTATGTTTCTGTTAGATACTGAGAGGGCTTTCCAGTGAGCAGAAGTCACTGTTTAAATAGGCTTGTAGCAAGAGGGGCCCAGACTCCACCCTTCACCCAGGGACTCCAATCTTTCTCCTTTTAAAGGGAAATGAGGCTGCTTCCAGGAAAACAGTGCACTCTGTGGCCCTGCCTCACACCCTGCATGCTTTATGACCCAGCCTTGAAAAGCAGGATCCTCAGATCTTGGAGTTTCTGCAAGGAGGATGTTTCCCAGCGAAGGCCTGACCTGGGGCTAGCCCACCAAGTGCCTCCAGTGGGCCACACCACCACTTCCATCCTTCTTCTCAGCTGTCTGCAGGAAGAGCCTTCTCCACCTGCTCCAGGGACTGGTTAGGTATCCTGGAATGGGTTCTGCCATGGTACCCTGCAGGCTGTTAGCATTCTGGCTGCCGCTTGCTATGCAGGCTTAGTAGCCACAGTAAGAAAGTATGGGCTAGGCCAGCCCCGCCTGGACTGAGTGTGGCCTGGACAACAGCCTTAAGTAACTCCTGAGATTAAGGCCTGTAAGCAGCATCACTTGGTGTTGGTCTGACTCTGGGCCAGGGCATTGCAGGCAGAATTACCCTGTCCCCCATTATATACCCTCATGACACTCCTATTTCTTGGAGGGAAGAAGAAACCCTCTTGAGTTTGTTTCTTCTTTTAAATGGACACGAGGCTGCTTCCAGGAAAAGAGTGCACATACGGACCTTCCTCATACTCAGATGCCTCTGGCATCTTCCCTCCCAAGCAGGGGGGGCGAGTGGGGGGGCACTGTCCTCGGGTCTGGGATCTCCATTTAGGCTCTTCTAGGCTTCTGGGGGGTGGCCCACAGCTCTCATATGCCTTATGGCCGATTCATTTCTTTCAACATTTGCAAATGGGCAGAAAGAAACTTAACACAGTGTCTTCAGTCTCTTGTATCACGTGGCCAAGCTAGATTTCCTAAAGAAGAGGAAGACATGGTTGCTCAGCCCCCCAGGGGTAGACATCACCAGATAGAAACCCTGGGGAGTCAGTAGGAGCCGTTGTCAGGAAGGGACACTTTCCAGTGCGGAGCAGGGCAGAGCTAGACTGTCCTTCCTGCCTGTCTGCAGCCACGACACAGCTGGCCTGGCCCGTGGGCCGCACTGGCACCTCCTCTGAGCCTGTGGCCTGCTCAGACACTGGGTGGGCCCTCAAGAGGCGGGGCTGCGGAGGGTGGTGACAGGGAGGCAGTGTCTTGCCAGGGAACTGGGCTCAAAGCTGTCCCACCTTTTGCTGTCCGTGAGTCGTCTCCCCTTTGGCTTAGCCCCTTTGCCTGTCACCAAGTCAGTTGCAATGGGTCATGTTAAAAGGCGAATGGCCAACGGGTCAGAAGCGAGACGTGCCACCCTGGTTGAGAGGTGCATTTGCTGTGAGCCTTACAGCTAGGGTGCTGGCCACCCAGCAAAAAAAGTCACAACCAGCTCAGGGCTGGGGGGGAGCCATCCTAAACTCAATGTAGCCAGCGTTTTAGGTGCCCTTGAGTGTGTCTGCAGGGATATAAGATCTCCTGGCCAAGTGGGGTACCATGGGAGGGGCCTTCGACTCGGCCTTTGCTCTGCCATCTGGCCGGGCCCACCTGGGGCCGACCTCAGCATGCCTGGTCCCAGCAGGGTTTGGGCTGCTTCCAGATCTGTTTTCATTTTCAATTCCCTTTATTGCTAAACCACCTCAGGGCCACAGAGAACAAACTGTTGTCCTCAGCTGACCTCGGATTCCTGGCCTCAATTGTTTGCAGTTTGCTAACTTTAGCTTCTGATCATTTCCACCCTTATCCTCCCCCCAAAGGGAGACACAGACCAAGAATAGCTGCTGGGAAGGGGGGCTGCAGGGGTTGTGGCCAGCGTTCCCACAGTGAGCGCTCGGCAGCCTGTGTGAGGCAGCTCCTGCTGCTGCCTGGCTTTGGAGGAGGGGTTGTCTGTAGGCACAAGCCCAGGGCCCCAGCCC